ACTGAGAATGTCTTCAATGTTCCGTCACTCTGGATCAGAGTACAGTTCAGTGTGTGCTGTGGGGGGGCCTGCCCCTGTCTGATCACATGACCTAGTCCCATAATTCCATGCCCGGCATACAAGAGCCTGAAAGTTTTTCAATAGATCATTGAGATCTTGATAAAAAGACAACGCAGTATTTTTATTAAATACATAACATTTTGGTTTTTTGCCAGACATGGTTAAAAACTATTACAAGACGTTTTGATTGCTTCTGCAACCTTCTTCGGCTAAAAAAAGAGTAAATAAGTAACGGCATCGCTGATGTTATATGAATGAAGGTTCTATGGAAAGTAGGTTGGAATTCCAAATGAGAATAAAACAAGAGCGTGATAAATGGTGTAATAATTAGGAATTTTTTGGGGAGTTTCCTTTATATCTTTGGGAATGAAATGTATTCATTAATTGAGTTTTTAACTCTGATGGTATGCTACGCTTCAAGGAAGAGTCTTTGTTCTAATTTGACAATTGTAGCTTGCTTGAAACGAGTTGCAACAGCAACACAGAAGATAAAGTTGATCAGGGAAGGTCACATGCGGATGTTTTGTACGGGTTTGCTCATTTAAAAAAAAAAATGGACATGTTGTTGTACATTAACCCTACAAAGTGAGACATTATTTATGCAAGTACCAGCAATGTCTAACCTGCAGTCTTTTCCAACATTAAAGGCAGCCACACGTGGTCCTTGTTCTGTTCTCCAGATCTAAACCAACATATTAAAATTTATTATGTTGATGATTTATGATGATAATGATAATGATGACGATAATGATGATGATGATGATGATGATGATAATAAATTGTAAACAGTATTTTGATTTACAAGTGGCCAACCCTGGTATTTAAAAGGGTAAGGGTTTAGACACTGAGGCAGAGCCTCCTGATATAAAACTTTATTGAGTGCCTCCACCTCCCCTTCCCATACCTCTAAAATTCCTCTTTTGGTAGCATATATGACAAGGAACAGAGCCGTCCTCAGGGAAGACTTTGGCAGTTCTTCCTCGTGGTGGTCTTCCTCTTCAACCATTACCCAGCCACACTCTGCTTCACGGTAGCCTGCCATGTGATAAAATATAATATTTCTTATTGACGATCAGTCGATAATTATTTTAGGCTGCAAAAGACAACTGAGCAGTGAGGATATTTAACAATTTTATTAAAAAATGGAGTATTGGATAGAGCTTAACTTTCCAGGTTGGCTAATTAGTGGCCATTATAACATGCCAAACAATGGTCACTGGAGAGGATTGTTTTCGAGACAGAACTAACAGAAGATGGAGCAACACTGAAAAATGTAATTCTAACATTGTGGTTCCTCTTGATGAAACAGTTAGTCCACTTGTCGCTGCATTATTGCTAGGGACAAAAACTGAATAGAATGAAAATGTTTACACTGTATGGCATATATCATACACAAAAGACTGTGTTTGACCACATTTCCACCCGTATGAGAGTTGAAAATATGATGTATAACGGAGTATTCTTGACAAACTTTGGAGTGTTTGGAAATGTGGTCAAACAATGTCTTGAGCGCTTAATATATATTCTCAATAGAAAATAAAAATAAGGAGAAAACCGAGAAATAAAATTGTTTAAAATCTATGCTAATTAAGATCAGATATCCAAACACAGCCATGGTCATGATTTTCTTTGTTTAAACGTGATGAATTTTTGATAAATTTGAGACAAGAATATCACATGCTGATTACAGACTGAGAATAAAATTGAATCTACCTTTCCATAATCTAACCACTATAGCTTTCTTTGCATCCAGTAGCATAACTCGACCATAATCATCGGTAGTCACAGCCAAGCGGCCATTTGGCGCCATTGTGATGCTTGTGCCGTGCCGATGAGAGTCGGGCAAACCAAATCTACCAAACAAAAGGTGTATATTTAATTGGTGTGTGCTCTGGCACATTGTTAAAGATTCCCTTCACTAGATAGTCAGTCCAGTTGCATGACTCATCTTGTGCCCACCTTTACACTGTATCCAGACACACAAAAAAATTTGGCCAAACTTGTCCAGCTGGTATTATTCTGTGTCTCAACTATGGCAGGCCACTGATAATTATTCAAAAATAATAAGTATGGACACAACTTCAAGCACAGTGGTTGAACACGAACATAGCCATCATACATAATGGCCAACTTCTACTTAAAATTATGACAAAAATAATGTCCAGTAGTAATCAAAGATTGAGATGGGTTTGACGCCTTCACGCACAGTGGTTGGACATGGACAATTCAGCCATCATACCATGACCCAACTTCTATTTGAAAGTATGACACAACTAAGAAATAGAAAATGTGTACTGTATTTCTAGGTACATGAAATGCTGTGGGAACACAAGCCGACAGGCGAGTGTTTCTACAGCTTTTTTGAATTCTCCCAAACTTGCATGAGTGTTTCTACCTCAAAAGAAACATGGAGAACATGTTTTCTATTTCTTTCAGAAAATCCCATGAAGAAAGAAAGAAAACAACTTGTTTACATTGATAATCAAAATGAAAATTCTCTTTGCTTGTGCTATCATCACATCAACAGCTCATGCTAGCACACATAATTTTATTGGGCTATTTTCTAAATAAATAATAATGGTAAATGCAGTAAACGTTAATGGTGGAACTGAGTGGGTTTATTAAACTGGGGCTGGAGCTGTGTTGAGAAATGTGTCAATGATATTGTCTACTTGTAGCCAAGATAACAGCAACCTAACATGACTACAATACACTAAGAGCTCCAGCATAGTGGTACAAATGTCAAACCTGGCAGGTAAAAAAGTTCCATTTTCCACCTTGGGCTTTGTAGCTTTTGTTGATTCTGTTGATTGACTGGCTTGCTTGGTACCCCATCCTAGCCACCCACTAACAAAACAAAAAAGACATAAACACTAAATACTTCAAATTGAAGATTTTACTAAATGTATAGTACAGTTGAAGCTGTGGGACTAGGGGAATACTGCTCCCAGCCACATACAAAACCCCACATTTTATTGACTGCGCCCGCCAACCCCCTTGCCATAAATATTCCCCACAGCCAATCAGTTTGCTCAGTGCCCAGTCCTTAATGAAACCCCTGATACAGAGCTCAACATGTACAAAGAAAAACAAAAAAGGACTTATATTATAAATAAACCAACAACTTGGCACTCTACTGATTTATCAGCCCAAAGACACAATTTTCCCTAAAAAATATACCACAAGGGAAAAGTATTTTGACAGAAAGCATTCTTGTGTTCAGCACCGATCTCTTAAAATAAAAGCTGGCACATTCAAATAAAATAATAACATCATCAGCACAGGGGTGACATTTGATCTAACTTTGTGACTGACAAAACCATGGACCTGAAGGATAACCAACAGAATTAGAATTTACAAGGAAAGAAAATCCAAGATACAAGTTACCCAGGTGAAAAACCTTGCAGGATCTTTGGAGATAAGGTAAGACCTGTCAGAGATGCTTCAAGGATCTATGAAATACTGTGTCTCCATGGGTACTTAATCAATAAGGGATGACAACTGGTGAAATCTTAGAGTCACTAAGATGTGGGGACCCTTGTTTGAAAATACGAGACTGAGACTTAGTACGTGTCTGATTATACAGTCCAAGACACTAAGAAACCAGGAAAACAAGACTTGTTTTGACAAATGATTCTGAGATTTTGAGATCAGATCAAAAGGTTATGAGACCCACAATTTTCCCTAACTACCATTCACCATCCTTTCAACAGCATCATCCCTTCTCTCATCAATTCACATGGACAGGTGCTGTATAACCTAACGTACCTTGCTGCTGTGAGCTTAGAGAGCACTGCTGTTGTTAATTTGCTTGCTACTGCTAAGGCAACATCAGAAATCAAAGGAGGTGAACTACCCTGATGAAAACAGCACAACCTGATATTAACAATTAATATAAATCTACTAGCATTCTATTACCAATGCCATTCTGTTATTGGCTATGGTACTCACTTTCTATTCTGTTGTAAATAGTGAGTGGCCTATAGTAGTGTGTGGTTGTTAACAAAATGGTGGCCACTTCTCTGCATTTTGAGGTGTCTGGGAAGTAATACAGGGCTCGAAAAAAGTGCCATCCCATTGTCCCGGACAAGCAGATTTTCCTACTGGGCAAGTAAATTTTCATTCTCACTTGTCCGATGGGCAAG